TAAAATCTTAAATATTAATTTTAGCAATATACTTTCTAATGTAGATAATGAATGAATCTAAAATACGAGTATATCGAGCATAATTTATTGTCAAGCATAATTTAGTGAAAAGTGCCAAAAAACTCCAAAACATAAAATTAAGATCTAAAATATTAGCAAAAAAAATTGAGATTTAGAAGATTTAGTCAAAAAAAATCTATATATATATATATAATATAATAAAACCAGCCCAACCCCAGGAGTGAGAGGTGGTAATATAAAGTTGGTCTCTCCTTAAACATTTAAATTAGTTATATGATTTCAAATATAATTCTATATTTACCGCAGCCAACTAACATAAAATTATTTATTGGTAAGCAATGTTTACGAGGATACTTTAAATAAATTGATCAGTAAACAATTGACAAATGATTTAATACTCATCAGCTAAATTAACACAAATTAAAAGTGTGGTACTATGTTTTAGTAAAAAAATCTCTTCAATATAATACCTCCTTTCATTCACATATATTCTAAACTACTAACGTGTAAATATAAGTTTATTAATGATCATTATCAATCTGGAGTATGTAAATCTAATATGTAACATGTAATAACCACTCAAATTATGAACATTAATGATTAACCATATTTAATTTTAGAACGATTAACGTTAAGAAATACTTGAATTATTTATTAAAACTGTTACTTATTTAGCCGTATAATATAAGTAAATAATTAAATGCGATTAAACGAATAAAAGTTCCAATCTTTAATTTGGAGAAAGTCGAAAAATGTTTTTCAAAAAAGTTTTACAGGAGTGTATTTACTTGAACCCTGATCGGGTTCAAATGAACCCAAACTGAACCTGAGATGACATATTCACAGGTAAATCTAACATTTTTAGCAAATTGAAAATTGGAATATTAGAGCAATCAAATATTAAAATAACAACTCGAAATGACTTGTTTGTAGAAAAATTTAACACTTTTGACATATTATTAAGAACTAGAATATTAGATTGCCAGAAATTATGAATCCGATTTTGGTAGACACAAATTTTCGATCAAAAATTAATCTTCTACTTGAAGTTGTAACTTCAAGCAATGATCAACTTCAAGCACGAGATCAACTTCAAGCACAATACTGTGCTTGAAATCACCCCTGCATAAAGTTATAACTTCAAGTACTTGAAGTTGCAACTTCAAGCAGTGTAACATTTAATTCCCAAAATGGTCAACTCAAGCAATGATCAACTTCAAGCACAACATCATTATATTCAAAATTATGAAGACTTTTGATTGAAAAAATTTATTATAAAAAAAAATATTCACGATATTTTAAAATTAGAAACTTCTAGAAACCAAAAAGGCGCTTACAATTGAAAACGTACATTCAAATATCAAGTGACGATTTTAGTATCGTGAACACTCAAATAGATTATCGTCTGGCATAATTTTTGGTTTATAAG